AAGACGAAGGCTGATTCCTGCTGTGCTGCAGCCATTTGGCTTTAATATGACGCTTAGATTGACGCAGTCCACGTGACATCCTCATTCGTTTTGGGTGAAAACGGACTGAGCTTTCGTCGATCATATGATGGAATAATTAGAGCTAGAACTCATTCTTGTAAGTTTCAAATTAGCACTCGGTCAAGAAGACGATTCGGATCTATCCTACCTCTTATCTATACATATAACTAAAAACAAAAATATCTAGACATAGATAAATATGGGAGGATTTAACTAATTACCCTTCATATTGGCCATGATACTTTTACTTGAGAGTATGTCTGTGTGTTTACCTCTATATGCAGTACCGGCGTTAAATCAGAGTGACTAAAAAGGACTAATGTCAGACTCCGGTCATCAAGGCTTACTTAGCAAAGAAATAACCCTGACAGAGGCTGCGTGAGTCTGAAAACAGCTGTGGTTTAGCTAGTGAGATTAAAGCTTGTAATCGTGTAATTCAGGTTACTAAGCCATCTGTCATAAACTCTTACTCTATGGGTTATTAAGGTTTTACTACCCAGGGAATGACATGACTGGGATTGCGCAGTCTCAGATGTTTCTTTAGGTTGATAAGCTTAATCTACATGTTGTACGAGTGTGAATGGGGTTATAATCATCTCTGGGCTGACCTAGCGTTAACTTGAGAATCAGTTCCAGCTCTGATGCTGTCCCTCATGATGGACGAAAGCCCAACCCGTTTTTACTTTAAACGAGGGAGGATGTCTTGTGGACTGCATCAACCTAAACATCGTATTAAAGACAAACGGCTGTAGTACAACGGGCATCAACTGCCGTCTTCTGATGAGACCGACCTTCGAATATCTTCATGTACTTTTATACAAAATCAAAGTCTTCCTAACACTGTCAGCTTAGTAGATTCGTCGAAACCCAGTTACTCCTAGAAGCCAAATTTTGTCTATACGGTAGAAAATGTTGGGTAGGGCTAGCGGCGTCATTCGAAAGTTATTCAAAATCTATGAGGAGTTTGGCTAAATTTCTTTTTCCGTGATTGAATAGATTTACAAGACTATCAGTAAATCAGATTTATGAGTTGTGTTCACCCTATTTCGTTCAAGGTGGCGAAGGAGTGGCAGTTGAATTTTCCCACAATGATATTGATGTGTTTTTCATTTAATTACACATAGCCCTGTTTTCCCAAAATGTGTTCTCATCCAGGGTGGACTGCCTAGGTCTTATCAACACCCGAACGAGAATTGAGCCATGGCAGTGCAGCGTGTAAGGTCGGCACGTTAGCTACTACGCCACATTGCCACGAGTGCCCTTGGGTCACAGAGCAGACGTGAATTTCAAGGAATGTCAGGCGTTTTTCATATCACGTTCTGTTTTGGGATTGTCATTGAAGCAAACTTATATTTGCTATGACAATCGACGACATTACATTTTCGTGAGTGAGTAGGTTTCCGAGCCTACCATTAAATAAGAAATGAGCTATGCTAACCCTATTTCGTCTGAGGTCTCGAAAACCCACTCACTCACTCACGAAAAAAGTAATGTCGTCGATTGCTATAGTAAATATAAGTTTGCTTTATCGACAATCCCAGCACAGAACAAGATATTAAATATGCCTGACATTCCTTGAAATTTACATCTGCCCTTTGACCCAAGGGCACTCGTGACAATCGGGCGGAGTCGTTAACGTGTCGAGATTACATGCTGCTCTGTCATCCTTCAACTCTCGCTGGGAATGTTGGAAAGACCTAGGCGATGTCGAAACTGCAGTCTACTCTGGCCGAGAACACCTTTCGTGAAAGCAAGGATATGTAAAATGCAATAAAAAAGTCAGCTCTACTCAATCATTTTTGGAAAATTCAACAACCAGTACGTTTTCACCTTAAACGAATTGGATAAGCGCAACTCATACATTTCTTTTGATCCGAGGAGTCTCGAATATCAAGTCAATTAATCCAAACCAAAGTTGTGGATTATATCTGATAAAATGTGTTAATCTGACATTTACTGCGCCTATTTCAAGAACATGATTGCCTTATTTGAGGTACTTGGCTTGTCTTGTTTCCTGGAGAGACAGAATGGGGATTGATGGGTGATGAGTTAATGTGTAGGCTGCTCTTAAATGTTTGGCTGTAGAGCTCATCATTGTCGTGATCAAAGCTGTCTCAAAAAAGATTCTTTTGCCTATCTGCGTGCTATGGCGTTGGATTCTCCGGGTTGTCATCAATTGTCTTATATAGAACCAGCTGAATTACAGTATATGACTGAGCACGTAAAGACACTTGTTGAAGGCAGCGCATTAGTCATATTCTCAAGTGGTCTCTTCATTATAAAATGTTTAGCTCCATTTCTGCGTACGTAATGTAACAAAAATAAAAGTTACAGGGTCAAGCAACTTCTATACAACGAAAGCAGACCGCGACCATATTAAAAGCCACATAATCTTGGTTTTCATACCTTCGACTAACAATAACAAGTTGTCTGACCTCATTTTGGCGACTTATTCGAATTGTCGGGGCAACAAAGTTGGACTCATCTTGTCCGAAGCCCTCGGCCTTAGAAGTTATGGCAATTCCCAGGGCTGGAAAATGGACTCATTACATTTCCAGACGTTTCGCCGACACTTCTCCATTTCTCCATTATTTATGCACAACTTTAGGACATCCTTTAGCTTAGATTTAAATTCCTTTATTTAATCTTTCATTAAAGGCTTATAGGTATTAATGTTATTTAACTAAACTAACAACTTTTTAAAATAGCTTTACTTACCCATGACAACTACCAATTCTCTGCTCTTCTCGATTTTTACAACCTTTGGATTATTGCGGCATAACTATCTAGAAACTCTACTCAGAATATAAGATTTGATTGGTATGACTCCTTGGTCAGAATAAGGAATCACCTTTAGCTCTATACCATTCTTGACTTCCCCAGGCAACTTAGCTGATAAACTAATCGACTCAACATTATGCTAAGACAATGATTTACTTCATTTTGTAAAAAAAATCAAATTTTCTTTCCAATGGATGGTTCACGCTATCCTCCGAATTTATGCCAAATACATTAATTACCTTATCCTTGCCAACTTTATTAAAATTATTGAGCTCATTTACATTTCGAGTGAAAGTGTCTGGTGAAGAGATTCGCTGTTTCTGAGACAAGTTCCTTCGATTCCGATCAGAACATGCTAAGTTCTCATCCGCAGTATGACTGACCTCTTTAGAGCAGGGTATCATCGTTACAACCATATTCAAGCAAACTTGAGACTTATTAACTTAAGACTTGGAAGAAATGACTTCCAGCTTTCATGATCTCCGTCATAGGATGGACGGAGGTCCAGCCTGGTTTCACCCGAAATGAAGAGGTCATGTCTCGCGGACTGCATCAACCTGAACGTCGAAATAAGTACAAACTACGGCATAACAACGAGAATCGGCCGTTGTCTTCCGGTGAGATGAACTAACGAATCTTTCATAATGTATTTTCATACCAAATGAAAGTCTTAACAACAACGCTATCTTACAATATTCATCAAACCAAGCTATTCCTCATACATGTGATATTTTTATTTTTAGATAAAGCACATGTTTACCGGTATGTTGGACAACGTGGTGAAATGTTACCCACCTTTTCCAGGGAATGAGGCGAACTACTTACGTGCTCAGATAGCTCGAATCAGTGCTACAACACAGATTTCACCTGAGGGATTCTATATGTTTGGTGGCGATGATGAGGAAGAAGAGGAGGAAGATGAAGATGATGAAGGTGGGAGACTAGATCGTCAACGGTATTCCATGAATCCAGAATATGAGCCCCTGCCAGTCAAAGAACTGGCGGAC